TGCGTGAGACAAACATCTCGATTGCGTCAAGCCCCTTGCACAATGGAAGGAATAGCGATAGCAATAGAAATAACACAGTTTTTAACACAGAATTCCAACTCGTCGGAAATTTTATCGCTATTGCTTATTCTGATTTTCTGATCTGCATTGATAAATGTGTATTTTTGTATGTTAGATTCCGCTGTTCCTATCGTTATTTATAAATATAAACTCTTTACAACTGGTATTATTTCTATCGCTATCGCTATTCCGTCCATTGTGCAAGAGGCTTCAGAGGCTCGCTCAGAGTTACAAGATCGAGCAGAGAGCAACGAGAGATCGAAGCGGTGGGGACGCGCAAACAAGCGAGAACCGCCCTTCGTGTGCTTGTAACTCTAGGCTCGCTAGAATTCTCGACACGCCTAATCAACAACCTGCTCAAGCAGCACACGTCAGATCAGCCGCTTACAATAATAGTAAAGCGGCCGCACGCGTTAAACGCTATGTCACAAAAGATATCTCAACTTTTTGGTTATTTGCGGTACAATTGTATAAGATTGCCGCCGATATTTGCGTCCGATAAAAAAACCTGAGTTTTTGTAACCCGAACAGTCCGATAACACTTATTCCGAGAGAATGTTTTCGACGACCCTTGTCTAGCGAAATATAATAAAGTAGATAGCATCTGCGTTCGTGTATGGATCCTCGCAGGATAAATACGAAAATCTTAGCGCAATAACTATCACGAAATCCGATAGCCCGCAGAGTTCGATAAGGTAGAAAGCCGCCGAGACTAATTACACACGCGTTATTATCTAAGTTAATCAATCAGGTGCGATCCTCCAGAACAAATTATTTACCAGTGGTCAAGTTGAGCGGATTTCTCGCGTTCTTTGTAACATCAAGGACCGCGTGCTTTTTCGCCGGTTGACCGTAGAGACTCGCCCTGACAAATCGACTTGATCCGATCAAGACAAAATTCTCTTTTGTTATTTGGCCTAACAGGAAAGGCGATGGCCCGTAAAACCGGAGATACCAGGTTCGACTCCTGACTGAAGAGTTTTTTTTGCAATAGTTTAAACTAGTTCTCTCGTCTCGCGATTTTTGCCACCTTATATACTCAGGTGACGGCGAAAGGCTCAGGACAGCGGGGAGAGGATTTCGGTTGTGACGAAGGTGAGCGAATGCATCTGTAGTCGTTCTGCCACGCCATATTACATAAAGACATATACAATATTTATGCATGACGCATGTATATTTACACATAAATATGTTTTTGTGTATACTTATATACCTATAAAGACTTGCGTTACAGACACTGATTTAATCGAGGAGCCAATATTGGCAACCTTTCCTTATATAATTGCATTAAGTACACCGAAATAAATAAAATATTTGTACCTTAAGGTTATAATACTTAATATATAAGGTTATAGTATTTAATACAAAATATTATCAATATCTTAAAATTAGCCTGAATTCTTAAAAATTGCACAACCTCTTCTAATTGTTGTTCCGTTTCTAACGGAAGCGTAAAAGAACAGAAAACTGATTCTTGTCTTTGAATGCCGTTACTAGGAGCTTGATTTAGACCAGCAGTTTTTATGTCTCGTATATCCTCAGACGGTTGCCACAATTGAGCATTAAAATAGTTTCGTTGACGAATTATTTCTTTAAAATATATTTCTGGAAAAGTAATTATTATAAATATTTTGGTATAAATATATTATGCACGATAAATTAAAGATAAAATATACACCGTTTTTATTCTGCATTTGAGCGTGTGTAGGACATAACTGACATGTGCATTTCACGAAACTAGTCAATAAAAAAGAATTTTTATTCCTTGATTATTAACAGCGTTGTTTTTTAAAATGATCCTGCGGCGCAGCAACTTGTTTTCCTGATGTTTCCAACATTTCTGCAAATTAATACAATTAGTTTAAACTAGTCGATGAATATAATTGGTCGTGTAGAGCCGTTTACTGAATGTTGACCGTAAAATGTAAACTCTAATTGTAAGCGTGACAGCGGCGAGTGTCACACGCAACAAAAAAATTAACAACAAACAATTTTTTTCTTTTTGTTTCTTTGTCTGACACTCGTCGCTGGCACGAGTCTAGCATACTTCTCACGGTCTAGCTGCGCTCATTCGGCAATTTCTTTCCAATTAATATTTCAATAAATATTGCAAAAGTTCCTTTCTTACGTGAGAATATGTTTCGCGAATGTAGTATCTAAGAACTTTTTTTTGATCGGTCACGCCGATAAAACGCAACACCTCGGAATCGAGATAAAATTATATCTTTTCGTAATTGAATAATCAATGTAAAATATGTTACACGAAAACGTAATATTCTCAACTATGTGGAAAAAGAAAGAGAACTAAGAATGTGAAAAATGTCAAATTTTAAAAAAAAGTAAGCGTGTTATGTTCAACGACTGAAATGTTTTAGCAACCGGCGAGTGTTTTTGACGCTTGGGAAACCGCTCAACCGCTGCGAAAGAATTTTCTAAAGCGCATAGTGGAGAATGTGTGCGCGCAAAGGAAAACTCTACTCTTATCTCAGCGCGTAGCTACAGATCTCGTCGATCTCTTGAAAATGACGGACGTGTTGTCAGGTTGTGCGCGATTTGAAGATTTTCTTTTTTCGTTGTATCAAGTTTGTACGCGATTTCAAGTTCAAAAGTGAAGTTCTTTCTTCGTCACTTACTGTAATTTCGTTATTGTAAATCTACCGCGTGTATCGCGATTAAATATGTCGCGAATATAACTTATCAGTCTTCCGCTTTGTCATTTCTTTATTTTTTAAAATAATTGTTTTAATACATAAAGCGATATATCGGTTCACCTCTAACGATAATCATTTCTTTTTTACATATTGTATGTAACATATATTGGAATATATACTTTTTACTTCAATCTTATCGGAAGAATTTTATAACACGGTCTTAATATTTTACAAATTAGAGTTTCGTTAATACTCTCTATTAAGAGAACCGCAGTAAATCTACAACTTTTTATCCATTTTCGAATTCTTCTCTTTGAGTGCAAACGGTACCATTTTTATCTTAACTGTCATTGAGAAGAATTACGTAAAATACTTTATTTTACAAAAAAACAAATCTTATAACAGCAAGGTATAGTTTGCTTTACGTGACATTTTTCATCGTGAAGTCATATCTAATATTATCAAAAATAACTTTTATAAAAAATACAAAAGAAATTCACTTAATTACGCATGGGAAAGTAATCAAGTGCCAAAAAAGACACAATCCGGACAATATTCCTGTGGACTTTTGACGCTGATTGTATTCCTGACGGCGGTGTTTGCGGTAGCGGAGGAGCCGGGTTCGGGTAAGAAAATGCTGGCATGAAGGTATATTTTTGTTTTTAATATTATATATACTACATGTAAAAGTTATTAAAGTATAATATATCTAATTTGTTTTCACAAATTCTGAGTCTAACGATAGAATTCTATTATGTTACAGAGTGGTATTGTCGCAGTAAGTGGCCAACGCACGTGAGTTGATCTTTAGGGTAAATGATGGGTATTTTTTCAAATCAGTGCGATACGTAGGTATTGCTTATTTATTTTGAAACGTCGAGAAAAACCAAATATTTGAAAAATAAAATTATAGTTTTCGCGCTTTACTTATATATTTGAATCTAATTTACTTATAGAAAATAAAATATAACAGAGAATAATATAGAATACTTTTTTATACATTTATCAAAAATGTATATTAAGATATATACATTGCTAAACGATATACTGATTACTCTATTTTCCAAACCATTGAGATTGCTTCATATAATGATTATTTTATACCAGTTTTTTTTCGACGATTTCTTACATTCAACAAATTGAGAACGTTTAATTCGCCTTGCGTCGAAATCGACGCTTTGGACCTCGCAACTGCGAAGAAATCACGCGATCGCGGTCGTGCATGCAAATCGTGTATGAAATCTATTTTAGATCTCGCGAATTTTTGACTTTAAAACTACTGCAATTTTACTCAAATTTTGTGGTTTATTACTATCGAGTACATTTTAGAGAATATATTTTTCGCGAGAATTTTACGATAAATTTAGAAATTTTAGAGACATACTATCAAAAAGTATATCGGGAAAACATGAAATTAACATATGTTTATTTAATTTTAACGACTTAGCGTTACTATTACTGCGATTTTTAGTTTCGATTATTGAAATACACACGATTCTTAAGTATTAGTAATAGAATCTATCTTGCGAAAGAAATTAAAGTGCGCGTACGAAAAGTTTTACGTAGGAATTTTGATTATGCGTTTTATTTCAATTTAATTTAAATTTCGAATATGTTGTATGTCAAATGTTTTACTATGTTTTTGACGTTTCTTTTCCGATCCGTTCCGTTTTCGATAAACGATTTTCGAAAGAAAGTTGCGAGTTGATGCTTCGTTGAAGTAACGGAGCAAGAACTTCGCTATGCTAAGCGGAGTGACTCTCGCAAAAGTTGCGAGATTGTATTTGCAGAGAATCTGCGGAACAATTTGTTTTGTGTAAAAAGTACGCAAATGTCAGTATAATTAAAAACGCAATTTTGTTCCGTATTAACAAAAAAACAATCAATATCAAAACTGTGATTTTTGCAATTTCGTTCCGTACTACCACAAAACAATCAATATCTAAACCTTTGATTTTCAATAGTGAGTTTTATGCAAACTCCGCGCGACGTATTATTTCAGACTATTTTAAAAATTATAAAACTTTCGTGCTTTGGAACCACTTAGTTTGATCACATGTTATTTCTTTTTTATTAAAAAAAATTTTTTTTGTATGCTACCTCTCTTAGTTTTTTTTTATAATAGTCTAGAAAAAAAATCTTTCATATATGGACATATTCTATGTCTGTGATGATGTTTAATTAAATATAATATATAAAATCTTTTCAATCTCATGCAAAATTATTATGCCTACATATAGAATTTGAGCACGTATAAAGAGTTGTTTCACGGAAAAATAATGATTTAGAATTCAATTATTTATTATCTTCTATATCTCTACAATAAAACTTTTGAGAAGAATACATTATTTTGCATGAGTAGGAATCGCACTGATTTTTCACTGTATCGTCACTCTCTACATATAATCTCGTAACTCCAAACCGCAATTTTTAGAGAAGAGCAGTTTGAAAGTTTAAAGGTTCATATAGTTTCCCTAGTTAAGAAATTTTTCGGTTTTAAATTTTTATCTTATTTATAAATATTTTTTTAAATATTTGGTAACCATAAAGAACATGACTTTCTAAGTGTTACCATGTAATAAACTTAAAATCCCGTATGTGACACTTATGTAATTATACCTAGGGAGTGACAATTGTTTTTGGATGAAAGTTCCATATATTTGTTTTTACGAAAAAGAACTGACAGTAATATATTGCAGCAGTGGCACGAAAACGATTACTGGCATTTTATGTAATTGCCAGTAATATTTTCAGTGATTCGTGGAATACCTAATAATATTCTTACGTGCTATGTGTACGATGACCATACTTCCTATATTTAAGAGGACAGTCCTTTATTTTGTTGCTCTGTCCTTTAAATTTATTTTGTTTCTAAAATAGTCATTTTGTCCTTTATTTTATAAAATGTCATTTATTTTATAAAATAAAACCTGCCAACAACCTGCCAAAAAATGGGTTGCAATTTTTTAATATTTTACGGAGAAACACGTAACTTAAAAACATCTTAGAAAACATTAAATTTTGCTTCTGTCTTCCTAGATCTAACGCTTCTGAGTCTAACTGAACGAGTATTTTTATTAGTATATATGTACCAGTGAAAATATTCACTTAAAAATCACAATAATAGAAGCATGTATTTTTATATCAAATGCAACTCTGACATAAACTGTATACAGTTTTAGGAATTTTTAACACAAACCTGATTTATTAAAAAAAGTTAATTTTCGTGAAAAGTATCAAAATTACATTTTTTTAAGATGGTCGTTGTAGCTATGTGGGAAAAAATTTTACTCTTTCTTTTTACATTTATAAGTATCATTACAAATATTACATAAGATTGATTAGTCGATATTACGACGTTCATAAAGGTCTTTGTTTTCCATTAAAAAAAAACAATATTAATACTAATAAATTTATTTTCAAAAACACATAAACACGATATTGCTATATAAATATACATTTATACACACTACGTGCATAATAGATATAGAGTATGCCCACAACTAAAATTGTTTTTACGTTTTAGAACACACATTCCTACAATATACAAAAGTGTCTCTTAATCTTACACTTAAATCGTTACTAATAAAAATAAAACTGATTGTTTTGTGCAACACAGAAAAGTAAAATATTATCAAAACTTAATCGAAATTTGTATTTACCTATTTTTTTCCACAAGTGTTTTCACTGAACGATCCGATGATTTCGAAACTTGCGAGATCATTATACGCAGAGTCTATTTCATATATAGTTTCGTCTAGTATTTCTCTGATTACTTTCATATCTCTTATTACTGCTTTATCAACCAATAGAGACAGATTTAATTTGCCTTCGTAAGTAATTACACTTAAAGACAACCCGGTTGTATTTCTAAAAATATAAATTTTACTATATGTATTCATATACATATGTACATATAGCTTATATATTATATATAAGAATGGTTTTAATATCTTTGGAATATTTCTAATTCGTTTTTTACACGTAAGTTAAAATAAAAGATAATTTTGATATACTATACTTGTTCGGTATCCAAAACAACATGTTGCTTAAAGGATGATTCTGAATAGAAAGTTTTCTTTGTATTCCTTTTATATTGCTAAATGCCATTGTGGGATTGTGAGTTGCAATAAGAAGTTTTAGAATTTCCCCCGGCAAAATTCCCAGTAAATGTTCCAAAAGGAAAAAATTTAACGATGCTTCTAAACTACTTCTAATTTTGTTATTTATTATTGTAGTTCTCTGAAGACGTTCAAAGAACCGAAAGTTTGTAGGTGACGTTAAAACATCATTTTTATTCGCGTTGACTAAACAACTTTTAACTATATTAATCGAAATATCATTGGTCAGTACTAGGTTGTCATTATACATAGAAAGTCTTCTTGGTATGAGAACCGATATTGCGTTGGGTATTACTTCCTTCATCTGCAACAAAGATATACACTTTGTTTTTTGTATATTTGCACATTTAAAGAAATCTTTTACATAGAAAGAATTCATTTTGGCGTCATTTAGCTCAAGTAGTCTTATACTTACGCGTAAATAATATTTAATTATCCCAGCAGCAAAAGCTGTTAATATTATGTCAGTAACTTTTGCTCCTGTACACTGTCTTATTTTTTTAATTTTTGTCAGAAGCTGCGATTTATTGGTATCGTTTTCCAAACGATAAACTATAAATTTCTCACCTGATAAAGATCGACCATGCAGAGAGCTACAAAATTAACTCATTATATTATAAAACTTAAAATATTTTATCTAAATATCACAATAAACGATTTGTTGAATATCAGTTTTATGAAGTTTGTATTTGCATATGTAAAAATTGGTATTTGAACATTACATATTTTGCATATTGAAAAACTTTATATAATTCTATTTAAAAACATATTATTTTATTTAAGTGTTTTAAGATATTTAAATATTGACGTATTTAAATACTGACCTTTTGCCATCGGTCATCCTATTACGAACAATTTGAGAGACAAAGATTTCTAGAGAAAACAATATAAGTATTACTTTTCTTATGATTTCTTTAATTGTGTTATATACCCCTTTCAAGTTTAAAATAATTTTTCGTTTTGGATTAGTTTCTTGCTCCTTAAAATAGTTTTCTTTAGCAGACAAAACGCTGTCCTGGGGTTCATCCAATACTGTCGACACTTCATTTGTGATATCCTCGTCGACAAACACATTAAGCAACTTGAATAAAGCTTTACCATCACCAAGAGAATGATGAACGCGAAATACTACAGGAACTTCGTCTAGTTCGGTATTAAAGCTGTCTTGAGAAGACAACCTCGGATCCTCTTCAATGGAAGATTTGACGTTTGGACAACGTCTGCCAATAAGCATTTCCCACATCGGTTTGTGATCATCATACAACGGTCTGTTGCTTATAAAACCTAGATTTTCTTGAAAGGTTGTACTGTGAACATTCTCGCAAGATCCATCGCAATTACTGATTTCACACTCCAACCATCTAATTGCGGTTTCTGGATTAAATTTTGATTTCTTCCAATAAAAGTAACCAAACTTTTGATATCTGTAGTAAAACAGTTTATCGAGCTCCTTGGGAACAGTCTTTGATAAATGAGTAAATAATTTTCTGATATGCTTTATGAAAGTCGTATTTGTACTTCCTGCGGTTTTCTTCATTATTAATACGACAGTAATCAAGGATAAAGATGTATCTTTGACGGACCAAAAAGCATCCGACCCTTCCAACAGACCGGCAAATTTGTCTTCAAGTTGAATTCTTAGCACAGTTTTCACCCAACAGCGGTAAATATATAAAACCATCAAAATCGTGATAAGAAACGGAGCAAGCAATAAAAAACAAACAATTCCTAAAAATTTTCGAATTACTATTTGACATGTTTTACTTAATAGTTTCAATTTCATCTCGTTTACGGTGTAAAATTGTCAGTTAAATTGAAGGCTGCTGCAATTCGGATATATTTTACCCGTGTAATATTTATTAATTTTAAAATGTTTGTAAGGATGATTTTTTCTTTTTATAAGAGAGCTCCATATAATTACGACTATTGCAGGTAGTAAAAAGCTGCACTCCACAACCCTGAAAATAAGTTTTTTATATGGTTATTGTAAATAATAGCTCTTCTTTAGATAATGTACAAAATTTTTGGGAGTTTTAAAAATAAGTGTTTTGTGGTTATTGATTTTTTTCAAGATAAATATATCAAGTTTACTTTCTTTTTATTATTTGTGCAATTTGTATTTTATGTTGCAAAGATAATATAAAAAAACTATAAAAAAATGTAAGTATTTATATTCTTTCTGGACGATCTAGAAATTTTAATAAAATGGATTCTATAAATCTAAAAAAGTTGCGAGCATTCTACACAAAGATTCATCTTTCTCTTTACTTAGCAATTTATTTAATGTTAAAATTGTTGATGTAACGCAAAAAGTATCAATATTTCGTTTAAAATATAGTACACTAGGCAAACATATACATGTGCGTGTGGGATTATCGTGCGTGTGTAGTTTATCTTGTTGAAATAAATAATGAATGCTTTATACTATAGATTATGCGCGCTCATCCATGAAACGAAATGTATTTAATAATTGTGGAACTGCTCCAATCGTTTTGTACTTAATTTTTATGTTTGTATTATATTCTTGTGTTTCTTTTGCAAAATTACTCTGTGATCTCTTACACACTACCGACAAGATCTAAAATCCAACATGTGACCATAATGATGTTTTTTAAGTTTTGGGTTTTGTTTCAATAAACGCAGTAGTATATCAAGTGTTGTACAGTCATCAAATTTCAAACTCTTTCATTAACTCTATTCGATTAGTACTCGCTTTTTACTTCAATGCCTGGTAAAAAAGTTTTGATATATATCCCGATAGCCAAATGCTATCAGTATGCCAGCAGTATGCACGCAGATGTAATCAGTACTTTGCAGCAGATTCTACTCAGCTGTGTCATCATAGTGATTTGTTACGTTGAAGTTTTGATATATATAATTATATATAAGTATCCTACATAATTTACTCACTATAATGACACAGCTAAGTGGAATCTGCTGCAAAATGCTGATTAAACCTGCGTGCATACTGCTGGCATATTGCTATCATTTGACTATCGAGGTATATTACTTATACACAAAGTAAAATTATTATATCTAATTATGCAATTTTATCAATACAGATATGTCCATACAATTTTCTGGAGAATTACACGGAGAATTTCTTTTTTTAAGAGAATGGCTTCAAAGTATCAAATTACAAAATAATTTTATTAGTATGTTAGATACAAAAAAATTATATAAAATTATTATTTTTGATATTCAAAGATCACTTCAAAATTACAATATGACCGTCTGTCGATCACATTGTGATTTTGAAATTATTTTTATATAATATATACAGATATAATATTTTTATATAAGAATTTTAATTTGTGCATAAGTATATATGATTATATATATCGAAAATGTTTTATCGGGTGGCCTTACAGAAAAGTATTACTACGGCAGTAGTGATTAATTATTGTCTTTTAGTAAGTTAATTATTAAATCGCAGTGATTTTTAGTAATTTAATTACTACTGTGTCAATAATTTTTAGTAGTTAGNAATTGTAGTATGTGTGCTTGATTAGTGATCCAATAATTTAGCCGTGTAATGAATTACTAGAGAATCACTGAGAGACCTTGTAATGAATTACTTGCTAAGTGATGAAACTATTTGATCCATTACTTAAACTCAATGATAAATACCTGACTCAGTAACGTGGCTGCAGAATAAATGACTACACAAGTACTGGAACTTTATAATGAATTATTGACTCAATGATTTAGCTGTGACAAAAATTACTGGCACATTTATAATAATAAGAGAAATATTTTTATCTATTGTTGCAGGTATAGTGCAATATTTTTAATAAAATAATAATTTAAATAAATAAAAT